AAAAAAAAAATTTGCATAATCTTTTTTGTTTTTGTTTTGCATTATGTTAATGAGAATTGGGGGAGATGTGCTTAATTCTTATGAAAAAAAGTCATAATGCAAAACATTTGTTTAGTCCAAAATAGGCTTAATTTTCTTCACGCAAAATATAATTTCTTTTGAATTTTTAGGTAAAATATGATAAGATCTTGATAAGATTTAGTGAGATTCACCCTTAGTTCTCTTTTAAAATTATAACTGTCTTAGCAAAACATCCCATTAAATGTTCTTTTAAGAAACCACTGTGGACTTGACAAAAAAATCCATAATTAAAAGAAATATATATAAAAACATGAAGCATGATATCTCTGCCATTGCTGAGTCTCCTTCTGCTCTATCCATCTTTAAAGTGAGAGAAGAGCAGGCGGATCACGTTAAGACAGGAAGAGGCCAGATCGTACAGCTGAAGTGCTGTTACTGGCTCACCCCAGACTTCTGCTGCACCGGGACGGGAAGGGGAGCGCAGAGCAGCCATTACTTTTTTAGTGACTGTAAAAAGTTCCAAAGGTCTTTGATCACCTGCAAGAAAACAAATGGGGGGAGAGAGAGAGAGGAGGGGGAAAAGGATGAGTTGGTGAAGCTGGAACGGAGTTTCTCTGATGTAGCGACTCATTTGGATACTTAATAATTAGAGCTGTGTGAGTCAGTTGAGGAAAAGCTCCACTTTAGCGGTGTGTCTGGGGTATAACTACAACGCCGAACCCAGAGGAAGGGGGTGCAGTCGTTGTACATACCAGAGGGTATGACTAGTGCCTCTCTTTGACAAAGACATGTCTCACACCTCTTTGCCTGATGTGCTCCCAAAGCCGTTTTTGCTCGAAAACACACTCTAAACACACACGCTCCACCCATTGAACATCTGAGAGGACACCTGCACTAAAAAATCTGACACGCTCCAGCCTTATTTCTAGAACTGACACACAGGGTGCAATGCATCAAATAGCTCATAACTCAATACCGACCAAAAACACCAAAAACATCTAAACTCTGTTCCAAATGCTAGAGACCTGCATACTTTCAGAAGGCAGCATCCAAACTGAAATGGGACCTCATAAGTGATCTGAAACCGTCTTCATAGGCAGCAATGAACACAAATGGCGCACAGGAGACTTGACTCAACTGAACTGCTAACAATATGATGAGTATAAAAATACAAAACATACAAAAATTGGATACAAAAATAGTCCATTTTAATCGTTTTGCGTATTGAATGAAATGTAAGTATATTTACAGTGGGTACGGAAAGTATTCAGACCCCCTTAAATTTTTCACTCTTTGTTATATTGCAGCCATTTGCTAAAATCATTTAAGTTAATTTGCAATCGAGGGAAAGATGAATGCGGCCAAGTACAGGGATATCCTGGACTAAAACCTTCTCCAGAGTGCTCAGGACCTCATACTGGGCCGAAGGTTTACCTTCCAAGAAGACAATGACCCTAAGCACACAGCTAAAATAACGAAGGAGTGGCTTCCCAACAACTCTGTGACTGTTCTTGAATTGCCCAGCCAGAGCCCTGACTTAAACTCAATTGAGCATCTCTGGAGAGACCTAAAAATGGCTGTCCACCAACGTTTACCATCCAACCTGACAGAACTGGAGAGGATCTGCAAGGAGGAATGAGAGGATCCCCAAATCCAGGTGTGAATAACTTGTTGCATCTTTCCCAAAAAGACTCATGGCTGTATAGATCAAAAGGGTGCTTCTACTAAATACTGAGTAAAGGGTCTGAATACTTAGGACCATTTGATATTTCAGTTTTTCTTTTTTAATATATCTGCAAAAATGTCAACAATTCTGTGTTTTTCTGTCAATATGGGGTGCTGTGTGTACATTAATGAGGAAAAAAAATTAACTTAAATGATTTTAGCAAATGGCTGCAATATAACAAAGAGTGAAAAATGTAAGGGGGTCTGAATACTTTCCGTACCCACTGTATAATCAACACGTTCAACATCTTTTGGAACAGCTGTTTCTTCTGTCTTCACACATCTACAAATATTGGCCAACTGATATATCGACCAGGGTTGATATAACAAATTAAGACGGAAAATGGGAGCTCCTGTGCTTCTGACACTCATCAGCCAAACAGAAAAACTGTTTCTGATCATTACATTTTTTTTATTTTTTATAAATAAATAAAAAAGTGGTTGGGGGCGGGTCAAATATCAGCCGATAAGTGTTTCTGTTTGGCCCATAATAAGTGTCGGAAAAGGGACTTCTAGTTAAAAAAGTGCTGAGAACCTGAGAGTCCAGTCCTGTCTAATTTACCTTTCTTTCATATAATGCATTCAGCAAATATGCATTTTAATATTGAATATCTTGCAAGCGAATCCAGCTGTTATATCTTCTTTATTCTTGTTTTTTACCAATTTCTTGATTTGTGTAAAATACTATAATATAATTACAGATTCAAGAAGTTGATTACATAAAGCATAAATCTGTCTATTTTACAGATTTATCTTAAGGTTGTTGTTTTTTTAATTCAAAAATATTCAAATTAAATATCTAATAAAAATTATTATCTATATATGATGCTTTAAAATGCTGTCTAGATATGCAGCTCGCTAGGTTTTAGAACAGAAAAATCACAGGAACATTAAGCAGGGGAATGCAAACGCAAAAAAAAGGGGTCCTATTATGCTCTTTTACAAAGTCTTGATTTTGTTTTGGGGGTGTACTAGAACAGGCTCTCATAATAGGTTGTTTGAAAAACACATTATTTTTCACATATTTTACATTATTACAACACCTCTCTCCCCAGTCTGGCATGAACGGCTCGAATAGTTACTGTATCAAATGAAGGCCCGCCTTCTGAAATACGAAATGTGCTGTGATTGGTTAGCTGGGCCAGTGTGTGTTGTGATTGGCAGCACTCGGCGCCTGGTCGGGAAATGTCACGCCCCTTACCATAGCCGCCTGCAAACTTCAGTGTAAATATTGCGTCAAAATTAGGGCTGCACGATAAATCGCATGCGATATTTATCGTTGTAGTTTTTGAAAAGTGATTTCTGTTCAATCAAATATCTCCTTTTGAAGTGGACTTTGAGCTTTGTAACTTTGCAGATATTTTTTATGCTCAAACAGCAACATTACAGACTAACTAAAGTTGAAAAAGTGAAAAAGCATAATAGGACCCCTTTATACAAAAAACAAATAATGGCATGATGTAGTACTTGTACTACCTACAAACTGATTTTTAGGGAATGTGAAAAAAGGGTAATGTGTTTTAATATGTGTTCCTGCAGCTCAAAAAGCAGATACCAAAGTCATGGGTTTGATGCCCAAGAAACTGAGAAATGTGTAAACGTCTGTCAAATAAATAAATTTAAATTTAAAATATGCTTAAATGAAAAAAAATAAGATCACAAAGTTAAAATATTAGGGTAAAATAAGACCTGGATGTGTTTTTGTTAGATCCACCCCATTGGTACCACTAACACACACAGACACTCACACTGACATTTGCACTCTCTCGTGAGTAATTCATCCTGAGGAGCTACAGCAGACATGATAGTGCGCTTTAGTTAAAAGAGAGATTTTTCTCTTTTGACCCAAACGTGGCCATTTGTGAGGGCTGCTTTAGACTACTGCAATATTTTAGGTCAACACCCAGCCTGACACATACAAATGCAAAAAAATCTCTAGAATAAAAGAGACGGCGAGAGAGGAATGAGTGAAGGAGGGATTTAAATCACAGCTAAAGATGTCAGGTGTGACAGCTCCCTCCTGTTCTTTTGAATGCCAAGAGGTCAATCAGTATATAATTCATTTGCTGATAAAAAAAAAGAGAGCAGCAGAAAGAACTCGGTATGACACCCCCAACCGTCCCAGTAAGACAAGATCCTAAGGCCTAAAATATACTCAAATGCAAGTATTTCACTTGTTTTTTAACTAGTGACCTGAATAATAACATCTATGTTGGCACAAATGTTTTAAGGTAACTCTATCGCCCCCTTGAGGCAGGGTTACATGACAACGATGCACTAAAAATTGAAGTTTTTCCTTTGCGCTTTTGAAAGGTTTCACATACAAAGCTGTCAAAATGATGCCGTTCACACAGATTCGCGAAAACAACTAAAAACACTGTATTTTTAACATGCAAGGCCAGTAGTTGGCGAAGTCACTATGTAAAGAAACACTATGCGCCGGCACACATACGCATTCTTCTACAGAGCGGTGAATTTGGTTGTCAAGTGCTTGCGCATACCTATAGACAAAACACATAATATGCATGTGCATGACATCACCATTTTCACAAACTTGGGTTTTGACAGTTTACACGCAGACAATAACGGTATAATTATTAAAAACATGCACTTTGAAACCCGTTTTCAAGTGTTTGCATTTTCAGGCCCCCAAAACACTGTTGTTGTGTAAAATCGCAGCCAAAATGGGTTAAAAAAATTCAGTTTTCAGTTTAAAATGGTATTGTGTTAATGACCGGTAAACCTAAAAACATTTTCGTTGCTTGAAATAAAAAGTCTAACTAAAATAAATAAAACATTGTTATATTTTATTTTTCATTTAGTTTAACTTGATGTACGAAAATAGCTAAAACTGAAATCAAGATTGACAAAACTAATAAAAATGAAAAAAACACAAAACCAACTTACTAAAACTTAAAAATTTAAATGAAAAAAAGCATAAAAATATAAAATAATTCCTGAAACAAAATAAAATATCAAAAACAAAAATTTATTTTATTTCAGCTAGGTGCCAAGTTAACATTTAGTTTGACTTGATGTCCTCAAATAACTAAAACTGAAAAAAAGAATAATAATAATAAATAAAAAATATACTGACATATTACGAAAAAACTAATATAAATTATATAAACACAACAAAAATCACTAAAACGTACAAAAAAAAAAAAAACTAATTCAAAATAGTAATAAAAGTAATAGTGATGCTAATAGTGATACTAAAATAGCACTACCTTGAAGTTTCTTACTTCCCAGTAATGCAAGAACACACATAACTATGTTGAACAGGACGTAGTTAAGTTTGTCTTCGCATAATAGAGTACGTTTCTAGCCTGATGCTTTTGTATTTCTCCGCCGGCTGAGGAATGTCTCATCTTCTGAGCTGAAGTGTCTTACTCTTTTAAGTAGACATTTCTTACATAAAAGACCTCTTAGAAGTGTTGACTAATTTTGTCAGGGCTGTAGTACATGCTATTTACGCAACGTGTGAATGCTAGAAATACTCCAGCCAGAGGGTGACAGTGCTTTATGAAAGCAGCGATACTCACTTGTTTATCGGAGATCTTGAAAGCACTTCTAGCGTAGTTCTCAAACTTCTGTTCCGTCTTTGGAAGTGACCTCCCCTGTTTCAAAGAAACATATTTTTGTAGAAATGAAATGGCCCTTTTTCATCACTTGTGTCTCTCTGCTAAGTGTTGAGATCATCCTGTCTCGGAGCCAGAGCGCTGCTGCCGTGATGAACAGGGTGAGTCGTTGGGTGTTGGACGCACTTCAGTGAACTCGCATTTTTTGTGGCCTTTACAGTAATTCCAGTTCCCCTTATCTACAGCAGACCGAATGAAATCACACGGACACAAATCATCATATCTGCTCAACACAATCCATCCGTATCCATTATGGCACAACATACTATTCGTCTCGCTCTTCTTTTTCTGGAGTTTTTAAGCATACAACTAGCGTAGAGACGTCTTTAAGGAATATTACAGTTATTTTTTCAACCTGCTGTCGATTACCACAGACAATAATTGACTAGTCCCTCGGTATGTGCACTACCATTCAATAGTTTGGGGTCAGTAAGATTTTTTTTAAAGAAATTAATACTTAAACAACAAAACAACAATAGTGACAGTAAATACATTTATAATGTTACAAAAGATTTCTATTTCAAATAAATGCTCTTCTTTTAATCTTTCTATACATCGAAAAATTCTGTCACATTTGTATTCAACAATCATAGTTTCCACAAAAGATTAAGCAGCAAAACTGTTTTCAACATTGACAATAATAATAATAAATGTTTCTTGAGCAGCAAATCAGGATATTAGAATGATTTCTGAGGGATCATGTGACACTGAAGATTGGAGTAATGATGCTGAAAATTCAGCTTTGCATCACAGGAATAAATTACATTTTAAAATATATTAAAATAGAAAACAGTTATTTGAAATTGTAATAATGTTTCACAATATTACTGTTTTTACTGTATTTTTGATCAAATAAATGCAGTCTTGGTGAGCTCAAGACTTTGTTCAACATAAAATTTCTTTCAAAAACATTAAAAACTTGTACCAACTCCAAGTGTTTGAACAATAGTGTAGGTGGTGCTGACGAGACAAGAGAGTTTTGCATATTTTAAAATCAAATATTGCATATACAGTTTTAAACATCTACTTATGGTGTTGTACTACTGCCTACTTGGATGCATAGTTTATAGCTTGCATTGTTCGTTTTGACAAACTGAAAAACAGCATATCACACATGAGGTAAATTCACATTAAGAAAAAAAAATCCTATTATAGCATCTCACTGCATGGTGTGTTTGCATGCAGTCATTTAACATTTAAAGGAGCAGCATTGGTTTCAAAAACAGAACAATGTAATGAGAGACTCGCAAAGATCAGGAGGCTATTATAGATCTGAGGATGTGGGGATGAAGAGGTTTAGTGGTCAGGGGATGCATTTGCGAACTGATTGAGGAAGTGAGCAGGTGGACTCAGAAGGACTGGATAATCCTGACATGATGATGTCATATAGCTGCTCATTCCCCCTCCGGCCTTTAACTCAGACACCTCATTAACATTTGAGCACCTCATCATCTGCTAAGTCAGCCTACTTACTGTTAACACACAGCATGTGTGTGTGTTTGTTTGTATGTCAGGGCTAAGGCATGTGTGTGATTACAGAAAAGAAATGCATCCACATGTAGCAGAGAGACAAATATCAATGTGAAAGGGAATATGTTGAGTATTTGTACCTCTTTAGCTGCTGATGCAAGTTTGCTTTTGACCTCACTCAGGTTGGGAGTGCTGGGAGTCTTCCCAGAAGGCCCTGCTGCGGATTTGTCTTTTACTTTCTGTGGTGTCTGTAAACAAGAAAAATGCAAATTCTTTTAATCTAGAAAAGTTGAAGTCAAGTCACTTTTATTTATATAGCGCTTTATACAATACAAAGTTTCAAAGCAGCTTCACAGTAATAAAAAGAGGAAAATATCAATGATGCAAACTTCATCAAATATGAGACAAAGACAATTTCTGCTGTTCAATGTTGATTCAGTTGAGTTCAATAACAGTGATGATGCTGCAAAATTTGTCAGTTATGAAACAAATTCAATTTAGTATAAAGCAGAAGAAAACAGCATCTTTATTCAGCTCAATTGTTCAAGTTAAAGTTTTCGTCCGAGAGTGTCAGTGCCACACATCATGTTAGATATTGACAACAAGAGGCCATGTACAATCAAAAAGAAAAAGTTTATTCTCATACATAACATTCACCAGCAGGCTCCTTGACCCATTGAGCCTTAATAATCAGCGGTTTAGTCTGGCCCACAGACCTCTGCACTAATGACAGCACCCTTTGACAAATTTGGAGGGGTACAAATGATCCTTTTATTGCTTCCATGCAGGAGAAGACAAGCCCAAAGCTCTTAGATGCGGTGGGAGGACGGTCACGGGACGCTCTGCCAAGAAGTGGAATAAATGACTTGTTTTTCAGTGACAAGACTATCATTTCCAAACACCCTCATGTTATACAGAGATTCACAACTTACTGTATCAGCACCATTAAAACTATTACACACTGTGGCCACAAAAACACTTTTAAACTATATTAATGTCCATTATTATGATAACCAAGGACGCTGCAGGTTTTCTTAGACTTAACTTCACTTTTCAGAGTAATTTTTGCAATTTACGCACTTTTTTTTTGTAAGAAGAAACTGGTTTTAGAGCATCATAACATGAAATTTAATGTCTGAGAACAAATGCAAGTGAGCATATTTATCCTCTACATCACAGATGTACTAGTGGATGTAGTCTTCCACCTTACATTGAACTCACACATTTTTGAGAGAATTTATATTATATAGTTGATATGAACATAAGCTTAATGTGATGCTTATTTGTACTCATACATAGATGAAACGTGTAAGAAACCAGTAAGATTTCTGTAATAGTACTTTAAATACACAAAAATCTGGTTTATACATTTATAATCAATGAATCCAGTTTGTTTCAATCTCATAAATTTTAACTAAACATTGTTTTTTTACATAGATATATTCAAGCCATATTTTAAGGATGTTAATAGTTTTCAACAGAATAAATGTAATCGTTTTCACAACGAACAGATTGCGGATTCTGAACAATGTGAATAAATGCATTTTGAAAATATGATTATTTAAATCAATCAAATAGATGCAAATTATTAAAATGAACTATGTGCCTATTTCTTACCCGTTTCATTTATGTATGACTGACAAATATGCATCATATTAATTTATTCATCCAACTGGTTGGTGAATGTTATACGCAATTTAAACATAAATCTTAAATATGTTTTTGAGTGTCCCTCTGAAGGATTTTTCAGGTTTCACAGTTGATGTTTTAAGTCAGTTCACCTCAAGTACACACAGGTGCTGTAGCAGATGCTAGGAGCATCTCCTGTGACCACTTGTGATCATATTTTGGAGGGCAAGTCTCTGATTTTGTGACTGCACGGGATGGTACTTTTCTTTCAAAGCCAGCAAAGTTTACCAGGTGTAAACGGGGTCTGCATTGGTGCATTAAAATTAAAATGTTTTACATGCTTACTGATGCTCTCTCATAGTATAGGAGATTGTGAGGGCAAATGTCTGTATTATTACAACTTCACTAAAGAATCTGGAATCCACCCTCTAAAAGTTCGGGTCTGTGTCTGTGTGTGCTCATTGGGCACAGGTGTGTGTCCAGCTTTCAGCAGAGAGATACTATCCCTCTGCAGACTGATATAAGCTCTCTCTCTCACACACACACACACACACACACACACACACAGACACACACACACACACACTGGCCTGTCCATGCATGCAGCCCAGCCAGGAATCCACATTGATTGTAGGGTTACACTGATGGATAGAGCCTTGTTTTACACAGTAAGTGAAAAGATGGAAATAGAGGGAAGAAATGAAGATGGAAAACATGAAGACATTTGGCATATGTGAATATATGAATGCTTCAAATTACCTCAGTAACCTTTAAAGTGAACCCAACTGAGACCATCTTGAGAGGTGGAGTGATTATTTCATGTCTGTATATTCTTCTTTTTTTTTTAAAAGTTAGTAGAAAAAGATATATAAAATAAACTATAAATACTAGCTAAATGACTTTAAAAAAAAAAACAGTTCATTACCTTGGAAACTAACTGAAATAAAATGAGCTGAAGTACTAAAATTAATAAAACTGAAATAAACTAAAGCTAAATATATACATACATTCAAATTCAAAATATTAACAAACAAATACATACTACATATATACTACAAACTTATATAAATAATGCTAAACTAACACTATATACACACAATAGTTTGAATGGAAAGTGTCTTGAGAGACACTAAAATTGACTAAAATAAGATGCAAGTCCACTTAAAGGGCCAAGTACAGTGTGAAAACAAAAAGAACTGAGTTTCTTTTCTTTTTTTTTGGTCTGAGTTTGGTTTTCAAAACAGTGAAAACATCACAAAACCAAATCATCTCTAGGCGCATCATGACACGCATTGTGTATGAGTTCAGCTTCAAGGCGAACGGGTAAACAACCCTCAAGAATCCTCCAGAACTTTTGGTCCTGCTAGATGAAAGAAGAAAGTGAGGGAAGAACAAAGTAATGGACAATGTCTTCCAGTCTTTCTTCGTAAGAACAAAATAAATAATCCCCTTTTCCTCTGTAGCAATTGACGAGCATGCGATAGATCAAAAGGTATCAGATTAAAGGACAAATGCACTCACAACACACACACACAGGACTGGCAGAAGGCCAGAGAGGCCTGGCGTTGTGCAGTCATTATATAGCAGGGCGTTTTTATGTGTTGGGAAAGGACAGCTGTAGAGTCAAGACAGCTGACAGACAGAGAGTGCAGCGAGCTTTTTAATCTAAGCCAGACACTGATTACAGATGCCAGGGGACGGCACTTAATCATTAGCACGCTAGTATTTGATGTAATCAGCTGTCCTCTATACACACAAACACACATGCGACTCCACTGAGCCGTGATACAAACTTTACTGACCTTTAACAATCAGGGACATTACGAATGATCTTGCACATTGTTCGTGGCTCTATTACACTAATGCAGTTTGTATGTATTTTAGGACAGGTAATGGTCTCAGCTGCCTAATAGGAATCGACTTTACAACTGTCCATACAGCCATCATCTCAGCCTCTTCTCGGTGTCCACTGTCTAAGCTACTAGTATGCTCTGGCAGGTTTTTGACTAAAGGTATAACAACTCAGTTAAGCACACAGCTACTCAGCCGTTTCATTTTCTCATTCTGACTGAAATATAATGATTATATTTTATGGCATTGGGAATGGCAGGGAATGCATGAATTGATCAAATGTATACCTACAATACAATGTAAGACGCTTTGGATAAAAGCACCTGCCGAATGCATAAATGTAAATACACTACCAGTGGTCAAAAGTTTGGAGGCGTTAAAATTGTTTAAATGTTTTTCAAGAAAGTGTTTTTTTTTTCTCACCGAGGCTGCATTTATTTGATCACAAATGCAGCAAAAATGGTAATATTGTGAAATGTTATTACAATTTTAAAATGCAATTTATTCCAGTGATGCAAAGCTGAATCTTCAGCATCATTACTCCAGTCTTCAGTGTCACATGATCCTTCAGAAATCACTCTAATATGCTGCTTTGCAGCTCAAGAAAACCATGATACTTTAAGGACTTTTGGATTGATAGAAAGAACTTAAACTAATTAGGCCTATCAAAAAAAGCCTATCAACCAAAATTCACTTTTTTACACAACAGGCAAGCGAATCTGAAATTAGGCAAAGCGGATAATGCAAACGTGCTTAAAACTGCAAGAAATTAGCCAATCAGAATAGAAACTGCCATTTTGAGGAAGCATTTACCATAAGACGGTCAATGAACAGTCTGTTTGCATTGCGGCTGAGGCAGACTAGCATAAAACCAACTTGACTTTATGCATGAATATTCTTGTATACTTTATGACATGCCCTTCACAGATGTAGGTATCTTACAGTTATGTCCCATACTATTGTACTAAACTTGTTTCTACACGCAAGTAGTCTTACAGAGCATTCCACAACTGCTTGTGCGTGTCAGTGTGAAATGCAAGCAACTTTTCTTCATGCATTCATACAGATATACAGCTCTCTGATGGGAGAATGCAAAGTGTTAAGCAATGCAGCGTCTGCCACACTTTAATGACAGAGCACACGGTTTCCGCTCACTTCATGGCCTGCAGGGACACCCAACACCAAGCCCTAATGATTTCTAAAGGCAGAGGAGTGGCCAACCAGAAACAGAAGTGTAAAAAGTGCCAGAGTTTGAGAAAGATGGGAGGATGTCCGCTTGACTGTCTAATCTCGTCAGGTGTTTTAACAACCACGTCTTGCACCAGAACATGGCCATTATGGAATTAGCTAAATGTGGGTGCACACACACACACAGCTCCCCCCAGGTGTTTCTATAACAGTAGGTAATTAGTGCTCCTCACGTCAAGCATTTAAGATGCTAATAACAAGCTTACTGAGTCTTACATTGTTATGTCAAGTGAACTGCCAGCGGGAACGATGGGAAACTCATTTTGACATTAAGGGATGTTTCACACATTGTGTGGGTGCTTACGTGTTAAAGGTGGTCCGGGTTTGAATGCAAAGACCAAAAGTCACCCTGTAAATGTTTATACCTGTCATGAAGGGGTGTGTTCCAGGGGTCAGAGGTCAGACAAATTTAAATAAGTGGTGAAAGTTCAGTCTCGCTTTTGTTTTTGTCACCTGCAAAAAACCTGCCCACTTAGGTAATTGGTCATCTTGTTTGTGAAATCACTTTGGGATGTCTGAAAGGTAAAGCCTGATAGACATTTATGAGCAAAGTTAAATCTGGAAATTCCTCAAGCACTCAATACAGCGCAACAGTGACCGCCCACTTTTTAACTGCATTGGTTGATTTTTTTCCTCCATTAATTTTCTCCATAGACAAAGACAAAACTGTCTTTAGAGCTCTGTGATGAATTACAACACAAAAACATTTTATTTGATACAAAAAAGAAGAAAATATCTGAAGTAAAAGACGAGGCTGTGCCCTTTCTTATGGTAATCAACTTCTCTTCCCACGGAACACTGTAAATAATGTATCTGAATCATAAACAGCAGTACAATATAAAATGTCACTTGAAAAAAAATATATAATATATATTATATCAAGTGTATATCAAGTACCGGTATATATCAATATATTATCATATCTCATTACATACTGACCTATAACTTGGAACTTACTGTTATTTTAGTATCACTGATATACTATATTTATTGTTAATAATTTTAATAAAATTAATTTTTTTCATATTTTCACTTTAAAGTTGTAGAAATTGTCATTTTTGTTAGTTTTTTTATGTCTATATATTTTATCTGCATGAATTTTTTAGTACTAAAATAACAAAAACTAATAAATAAAGTAACTAAAGCTATATACATTTTTGTATTTATTGGTTTTAGTTTTATTTTAGTACTGAACAATTAAGCCATGGAAACTAGCTAAAGCTAGTTTACTTTTTATACTTTATTTCAGCTAACGTATTTTGTTTTTATGGTTTTAGTTTAGGTTTTAGTTAATGATGATAACACTGCTTTGATAACAATTACAGCCTCAAGTCTTTTTGGTTATGATGGGACAAGCTTTGCACTCCTAGATTTTGGGGATTATCTTCCATTTTCTTTCTCCCCCGATTGCTCAGTTTGGACAAGCTGCCAGCTTTAGAAAGAGTCCTGGTTGTTCCAAACTTCTTCCAATTTAAGAATTATGGAGGCAACCTTCAATGCAACAGCCTTACCCAAATCTGTACCTCGACACAATCCTGTTTCTGAGCTCTGCAGACAGTTCCTTTGACCTCATGGCTTGGTTTTTGCTCCGTAATACATTTTCAGTTGTTCGAACTTTTATAGACAGTGTGTTATAGACAGTGTGTGTTTTTTTCCCAAATCAGGTCCAATCATTTTGAATTAGTCACAGATTTACTCCAATCAATATGTAGAAACATCCTCTTAAGAGGATCCAGAGAAATGGGATCCACCTGAGCAAAGGGTGTAAATATTCAGGACAGTATGATATTTCAGTTTTTTTTCTTTAAAGCTATCACAAATGTGGCTTTTGCTCTGCTTTGTCATTATGAGGTCTGGAGTGTAGAAAAAATTTGGGGAAAAAAATTTAAAGCACACATATACATACACACATATATATTTTTACTTCTGCAACCCAACTTGTGCTCTCAACTTCTCTCTCAATTTTACACTATTCTTGCGTTCCGTCTGGATGACTGTTACTTCTCTAGATGTCTTTGAAGAACTCTTACTGTGCGTAGCGTTCCTACTCCTGTATCTTTCTGATTCAGCACCACAATTACAGTGCAAGAAAAAAAAACTACATCAAAGAAAATTCAACCCCACACAACAGCATGTGCACCGGTCAAAGGAGAAAAAAAATGTGATTACAAGAAAGTCTGGTGAACGCATTTCAGATTCCCAACATCGGTCACCCTGCCAGAAGGCCGTGGCTTTGAGACTAGTTTGTTGTTTTAAAGCAGACCACAAATGACCCTTCAAATTGGGCGTTTTGGGATTGTTGCCACCAGCAGCTAGTTAAGAGCGCTTCACTGTTTCCTTGCATGGGAAAATACAAGGAAATTTGTATTTTCCATGACCTAAAAGAAAAACTTTGAATGTCAAGATATTTTTCTCTAAAACGCTTGATTATTACAAGTGTATTAAGTGAATTCACTCTTAAAAAAAAAAAAAAAAAACAATTCCAGAAATAATGGCTTCAGGATCATCGTGTCCTCCCAAGACTGGGCGGTTTTCAGCTAATCACAGCTGGAGTTTTGAATGCTGCTGCACACATTTATCTTTAGGGGTACTGCTGGTCTAATTTACATTTTGCTTTTGGCGGTGTTGGCTGATCGTAAACAAAGACAGGCCATCTCATTATCCCGTGGTTTTCTCTGTGAGGCTGCCATGTCGTCGGTGTCCTAAACTGCACCTGGACGTTTGGTAAGAATTACCTCTGGCATCCACTGGTAGACTTTGGCTTTTGGTTGGCAAGGCTTGGAAATGGGATGTGGACAGAATACCAAAACCTGAAATCCAGACGGCTCCTACAACTTGTGGTGACCCATCAGAACGTGTTCATTTTCTTTTTAGTGTTACATAATGTGAAGCTGTTTTTGCACCAATGCCAGACTTAATTTATTATGAATAATCTTATCTTTTGGTTTGCATCCATCAAATACCAAATAAGATGAAATAGATTTTGAAGAACATTTCATTTGAAAAAGAAACTTAGTTTGCTTAATTATATATTGGATATAATATCCAAATATAGGCATGGATATTTAATATTTAAACCGTTTTTTGGTAGATTTCCAACAAAAATGGCTGTATTGTGATATTACACCATTACCATGAAGTGACTAATTTGAAGATTTTTGTCATACATCTATTCTGAAGTGTTGCTAAGAGTAAATCATAACTTACCTGCGTTTGGGGCTTCCCTGATGTCCCTGCTTTCTTGTCTGGAGAGCCGTTCTGCTTATCTGCACTTTTCTTCTTCTCTGGGGTCTGGAAAAATGGACAGAGAGAAAGAAAAAGAGAGAGAGAGACATTGCAATCCCAGGTTAAAATGAGCTGAGAAAATATTTAACGCGTGTCAAAGACAGAGCAGCTCCAGTCACCTGTCATGCTCAGTGTTAGAATCATAACAGCGGATAATGTTTGTGAATTGAGTGATTGTGACAGCTTTGTTCTTCAGTGATGTAACACAATACACTTCTCGGATGTTTTTTCAGTCGGGCTGTCAGAGAGCCGTGATGAAAGAGAGCAGTAATTTGTAGAAAGCACAGCCTGTCTAGTCACGGCCTAAAGGGACCACAGGACAATGTCATTGCTCTATAGCTCTATACCCCAGAGAGAAAAACAGACAGTGGAAGAAAAGAAAGACCAGTTAAAAAAGTTTGAAATAAAGAAATATTAACTTACACTTTTTTTATGAACCCTATACACACCTTATAGACACAACATTAGGCCTTATAAACAATACTGATAATGTAAATCGTCATCTTATAACTAGTTATATAGTTGCCGTTTTTCTCAGGAACAAAGTTACAGTACATTATAAGACCTATTCTTATAAACCTAACACTAGAAAGTGTTAACAGCAAAGTGAACATTGAATGAATAAATTTGATGGGTCAAAGATAGATCTCAAGACACCTAAAGAAAGAGAGAGTAAGACACTGAAAAGCTGTGAGAAGAGAAGAAAGCATTCTGGATGGGGGGTGAGGGAGGATGTGGAGTGTGTGACAGAAGAGCTCGTCTGTCGTCCCCCCTCAGGGCAGGAATCAGTCCTCACAGAGCAGGTATGTACCCGCTTTGATCTCTAAACACACATACAAACACACTGTCACGCGCTCTCAAACATTTAAATACACACACACACACACACAACAGTGCTATTAGTTTTTATTATGGTTGTCAATTTCGGTTTATTTCCACTGCGTTTTAATGGTGCATAAATAGTTTAGATGTTGATTTTAGCTACATTCACTTACATACATTTTAGATTATATATAGACTACCTGTCAAAAGTTTGGAATTTGTAAGATTTTTTTTTATGTTTTTGAAATAAGGGGTTATCCAATCATAAATACAGTAAAAATAGTAATAATGTAAAATAGTATTACAATTTAAAAATATCTGTTTTCTATTTAAATATGTTTTTAAATGTAATTTATTCCTGTGATGCAAAGATTAATTTTCAGCATCATTACTCCAGTCTTCAGTGTCACATGCTGATTTGCTGCTCAAGAAACATTTCTTAGTATCCTCAATGTTAAAAACAGCTGTACTGCTTAATATTTTTCTGGAAACCATGACACATTTTTCAAGATTCTATGATGAATAGAATGTCTAAAAAATATATTTGATCATTTATTTGAAAAAGAAATCTTTTGTGAAATTATAAATGTCTTTACTGTCACTTTAGATTAATTTAATACGTCCTTGCTGAATGAAAGTATTAATTTCTTATTCATATATTAATCTTCTGACCCCAAACAAGCAAGTGGTGGATAGAGAGGTGAAGTCAGACTGTCTGTGGATCTTAACAGTGTACATGTGATCATTACGATCCTGACAGAGAGACGGTGTTTATGAAAACAGACGGATGAAGAAAGGATGCAAACAAGATATGATCAAGATGATAAGACACTGAGGTGATATGAGGGAGGAAAAATATGTGTTATACGAAGAGACAGAGAGAATGTCATGTGCTCTCAACTTTGAGGGGATAATAACAGGTGGTGATGAATATGTGATGAGGCAACATGCTCTGTCTCAGGCAGAGACTGGCACCTGCTGGTCACTATGGGGTTCACTTGGTTTCATTCAGGACAGCAGCGCTAACATGCAGAAATGTAACAAGTATAGTTCAAAAGTATGGGGTCAGTAGGTTTTTTTCTGAATAAATTATTAATTTTATTTAGCAAGGATGCATTATATTGATCCAATATGACAATAAATGACTTTTTATAATGTTACAAAAGATTTCAATAAATGTTGTTCTTTTGAACTATGGAATTCATCAAAGAATTCTGAAAACCAAATGTGTCAAGGTTTCTACACAAATGTTAAGCAAACCGTTTTTAACTGTGAAAATAATATGAAATGTTTCTTGAGGAGCAAATCTGCATATCCGAATGATTTCTGAAGGATCATGTGACACTGTAGCTGTAAAATTCAGCTTTGCATGACAGGAATAAATTACATTTTAAAATATATTAAAACAAAACACAATATTTTAAAATGCAATAATATTTAGACTGCTTTACTGTATTTTTGATTAAATAAATGCAGCTTTGGTGAGCATAATAAACTTTTTTCCAAAATATTACAAATGTTACCAACCCCAAACTTTTGAACGGCAGTGTAAAACACAGCATTTCCTCTTTCCTGATTGTATAAATGGAAAGAAGCGGCAAGACTCACTTTTTGAGGGGTTTTGATGGGGCTCTTTTCAACAGTCTTTTCCTCTTTGTCGTTGTCTCTAAAAAGCAAGACAGCAAAAAAATGCAGACGTTTTTCAAACGAACAAAAATATAGATGATCCTCTCAAAGTGAATTAGTTTAGAGAGTGAGAGTGTAAAAACTAGGGCTGCCCCCTGATAGTTGATTAACCGTTAGTCGACGAGAAGTGGCTTAGTCTATCAAAATTGTATTAGTCGCTGGGAGAAAAATAAATAAATCAATAAATCCACAGGAAGTGGCAAAGTCATTATTAACAGCTGGTCTATGTGGTAATTACAGTACATCGGTATGGACATCCAAACGGTCATTTTGTTTGGAACCTCATCTGGCTTATCATCTGAAACATGCACATAGTAGCATCATTACATAACGTTAACCTAGAAAAATGTGCGCTATTCAAGTGTTTGTGTGGACTATGGAAGCTGAATAGTAGCGCGGTTACTCTGTGCGATCATTTGCATTTAACTTAAAATACTCCGTCATTTTTGGTCATACAGAGTAATACATCTTTCGAATCTGTAAAAGGTCTACTTTTATTTGTGTGCACTCACAAAACAACATGTGCTTTTGTAAAATGATGAAAGCAAACAGGTTGCACTTTCTGCTGTCTAGGTCTCTGTGAACTTGAGCGCGTCAAAAAAATAAAATGAAACTGCAACCGAAACTCAGTGTTTGCCTCACAGACATGAAAAATATATCTATAGAAAGCAAAATTTCTACTTTTAAATGAACCAATTCAAATGGAAAACAGATATTTTCAGCTCCACTGTGGAGATTAGAGCCCGACCGATATGGGTTTTTTGGGGCTGATACCGATATTTGGGAGTAAAAAAAAAGGGCAGATATTCTGTGTATATTATAGTACAGTACCAGTCAAAAGTTTAGACACGTTCCCATTCGTGTGTCCAAACATTTCGCTGGTACTGTACTATAATATACACAGAATATCGGCTATGTAATAATGGCTGTAACGTGTACGTTCCCTTGGAACTGGAATCATGGCGGAATTTCATGTGAAGTCCACTTCGCAGGGCACTTACGTTCGAATAAGACACCGCTTGAATGCTGCTGCCTTTCAGAGAGACCTCCTTACTGAAGTGAAAGTGTTGGCTGGTGTCACTATCTCGCGAATGCGCCGGCGGATCTCCACCAAATTCGGGGATCCCTTCAGCTCGAGGAGCCCTCTCGAACGCCACTCTCCACGCGTCGGTAGCCCCCCGGGATCGCTAGATCGGGTCGGCGCCGAACCGCGAATTTAACCGCCCGTAACTCCCGAACCCCGGGGGCTATCGATGTGGGGGTGGTCTCATTCGAAATAGGGCCTCGAGACGTACACTCGATTTGCATTCGGGATGAAGGGATCCCCGAATTTGGTGCGGATCCGCCGTGCCGTTACGGAGATAAGGCCATTCAAGGTTTCAATGGTTTTCCATAGCCTTAAGCTTTAAAGCGTTTCATCCAGGTCGCCAGTAGCAAACAATGGAGTGCGCTCTGCTGGACAAACTAAGTAATTACACCATTTCAAGCATTTTATCTGCGTTATATGTTCTGTAAAAAAAAATTCATATCGGCCGATAATACTGGCTAAACGATATATCGGTCGGGCTCTAGTGGAGATGATGAGTCAGTGTCGTCGACTTCGTCACTGCAGCCGAAAATACAGAAAACACTAGTTTGTCAATTAATTATTATAATGTGAAGGCAGTCTTCTTGCTGTTTTTTTCCCTGACACATTCATAATCATTACTTCAGCAGTGCGCTGCGGCAAGCTTTATGTGTGTACTTGAGCACTGATAGACTATAGGCAATTAAAGGCTCATTATTATGAATTATATGGTTTATTAATATAAACGTGCGATTAGTCGACTAAATGAACAACTATTAATCGATCAGAAAAATCTTTAGTCGAGGACAGCCCTAGTAAAAACCTTTCGACAGAGCACAAATTTACACTGAACAAACATGTGTTCTCACTCTTCGTCATTATCATCATCGTCGTCGTCGTCGTCATCATCATCTTCATCACTATCCTCATCTTCATCGGTGTCCATTTTCAGCTTTTTCTGAAATGACAGAACCAAATCATTGGAAACAGAACAAAGTAAATGGGCTCTGGCAGTAAAACCTGAATGGAAGTGACTTGTGAGATGCTAGAGGAAAGTGTAATATACTATATATTTTTAAAACATTTATTAATGCATTAAATTGTCTTTATTTTACCGTGAGTAAATCACAACAACAGCCCTTAACCCTAGTAAAAACACTGTAAGTGACAGCCTCTCATGGCTTACTGCTTCAGTAAGAATTCTGGGATCATTTCAACACTCTGACAAAAGATTTCAAACAGACTCCCTGTGTATCACATTGATGACAAGCTGTTGCTTGTCTCAGACACTTATCTAGAGGATTAAGTGTGTATTGAACAATGTGTCTCTTTATCGAGATTCCACAAAAGTCAACAGGGCAACTTCACAGTTTCTCTTTAAATATTTCTCAACACCCACTTAAACCCTTCTCATGTCTTATTAACAAAAGAAGGTACCACATTCTGTGATAAATACACTGCAAAAATTATCTTCTTCCTTATTATTTTTGTCTTATTTCCCAGTACAATATCTATGCTTAAAATAAAAAAAAATATCTGGTGAAGGAAAATCTTAAAAGGGAAAATAAGACTGATAGATTTATATTGATACTTTATAGCCCATTTATAGATTTTTTTTCTTGTTTTAAGCATGAACTCATAACTTTTCAGAAAACAATTTTGCTTTTCAAGTAGTTGTATCTTGATCTAAGAATATTTACATATTTGTACTTTGAAACAAGAAAAGAAATATCTCTGTTTATATTTAAATAAGACTTTTTTTTTATCAAAGTGTACTGCACCAAAAAACAGTCATAATTTAGTAGCTTTTAAGGAATTGTGTGGAAACAGCATTATTTGTTGTGTGGTTAAAGACAGATCACCTGAGGCACTTTTGCAAGGGTCATGTTGGACGGTCTCTTCACTGGTGATGTATTATTCTCCTCCTCTTCCTCATCATCCGATTCCTTCACACCTGAGCAAACCACAGAGATCTCCAGACATCAATAACTGTGGTTTAAATAAAAAAACTTCACATGTCCAAGTTTGTATGACAAAACCAATCTGACATGTAAGTGGAGGCCTAAATGCTGCACTCGTTTAATATCCGGAGAATAGAACTGACATGCTGAAAGTGTCTGAACAGCATGTGCAAACATATGGAAGCGATTATATCAGAGAAAATGGTGTTACATGGTGCGGGTTCATTCATTTTGAGTCCGTGTGGAGAGAGAGGGGCCCTTTAGGATGGCCAGATTACTCCCATGGACGTCGCATCAAGCAGAAAGAATAATTTCATCAGAGAGAAGAGAAGAGTAAACAAGAGTGGAAGAAGACACACCTGGGAAAGGGCTTTCCTGAACTCTTGGTTTTCAGTGGTCGTGTTCAGTCCTAACAAACGAGAAAAGACAAAAGGTACTCACTGACAAAATGCTGACCGCTGATGTAGACCGGCCCCGCTCCGGATTGCAGGCGAAAGGACACAGGAGGCGTGACCTCAAAACCTCCCAGACTTAGCTAGAGGGAACATGCAGACACACATATTACTGTAATCCAAACTGAGCGAGAATGATCAAACACAACAATAGCAAAATGTTTGCTTCATGCTCTATTTTTAGAACACAATCAAACAGAATAAACATCTTGAAATGCCCACACAGAGGCTCTGTTTTAAAACTTGCCTAACCTTGGATACAAAAGTTTGGGGTCAGCAATGTTTTTTTGTTTGTTTGTTTTTTGGAAAGAAAGTAATACTTTTATTCGGCAAGGATGCATTAAAATTGATCAAAAGTGACAGTACAGACATTTATAATGTTACAAAAGATTTCTGTTTCAAATAAATGCTGTTCTTTTGAACTTTCTATTCATCAAAGAATCCTAAAGGAATGTATCCTGGTTTCCACAAAAATAGTAAGCAGCACAACTGTTTTCAACATTTATAACAATAAGAAATGTTTTTGAGCAGCAAATCTGATTTCTGAAGGATCGTGTGACGCTGAAGACTGGAGTAATGATGCTGAAAATTCAGCTTTGCATGACAGGAATAAATTACATTTAAAATCTATTAAAATAGAAAACAGTTATTTGAAATTGTAATATTTCACAATATTACTCTTATTATTGTATTTTTGATCAAATTAATGCAGCCTTGGTGAGCATAAGAGACTTCCTTCAAAAACACTGAAAAATCCAAACTTTTGAAGAGTTGCGTAAACGATTGAATATTAAAACAAGTACTACTAAGTGTTCTTTATCAGAAGATTTTGTGCTAAAATGAGATGATAAATGATTCCCACCACAAGCAACCAAACAAATTTGTTTCCCAGAAAGAATTCACGACTGGGATCTGTCCTGATCATTCCATGCCAGTACATCCAAGACAGGCCTCCAGCTAAACATCAGTACATAATTGCACAACTCGCAAAATACAAGCCACGGCCAAAAATTCTGAATGAACATTCCACTGTGCCAGGCAACAGCACTTGCTTCGATGGCAACCAGATGTAAACAGCTGAGGACGCAATGGTCTGATTAATGCTTTAAATGACAGCTATGAAACTGTTGTAATTACATTGAATGGCGAACAATTCCTCACGTCCAAAATCATCGTTTTAAAGGGGTCATATGATGCGATTTCAAGTTTTCCTTTCTCTTTGGAATTATGTCCCCACTGGATGCAACAAATGCCTCGTTTGTAATGGGTTTTATTGGTTCGGTCTCATCGCTGTCTCATCGCAAGGTATCAAAATATGGTAAGGGGTGTAACATTTCCGTCACACGCTTGAGGTATCCGGCCAATCACAACGCACTGCACAGCTGGCCAATCAGAGCACACCTCGCTTTTCAGACCGATGAGCTTTGTAAAAATCGACACGTTTCAGAAAGGCAGGCCATAGAGGAGTAAACTAAACAATTTACTAGCCAATGGCGATTCAATTGCCAAGGTGTTCGTAGAGGGCTGCATTACACCAAATACACAAAATAATGTTCTTTATAGCAACATCATATGACCCCTTTAACACAAACGCTGACTGATGAGTTGATTGTCTCCCAAGAAATCGAGACAAAGCCTTGTAATTAAGGTACAATTATTGCTCGAGTCAGATATCCTGGGGCGTTTGCTAATTTTGGGAATGAATAAACTGAATAAAATCCAAGATCTTACAGACAAGGTCAAAATAACACAAAAAGGGCTTACAAATATGGACAAAACAAATATGCCCTAAAACAAGTGTTAGGAAGGTGAAAATTAATACGCCACCATTAAAAAGTCCACCCACAGTACTAATCATACCAGCAGTTGGAATCTACTAGAACACAAAAAAAAGAGTTGCAAACCCTGCATTCTGTTCACTGAGTCATAAAACAGACTCCTCCCAGAGCTCTTTGGAAATGGTCACATTTTCCATAGCTGATATAAAACAGAGGTGAATATGTGCTGATGTCATGGAGAGCTTATGCCTGCTGTCCGGAAGATGCACATGATGTTACACTTTATGGTGTCCTTTCAGTTATACAATTAAGGCAAGACACTATAGGCAAAAATCACTTTTTTCATGCACTGGTAAGGCCCTATGATTTCCGCGATGCGGAAAACGCGGACGGAATCGCGGAATCCAGTCATAAAAATGGAATTTACTGTATAACGTGGAATGCCACGGAATTTGCCAAATTTTGGACGAATAAATCAAAAGTACTGTTAAAGTCAGTTCACTTAAATCAGATCGCAATATGAGGTAGTGTCTGTGAATATTAAGGTGCAAAAATACTATTGAATGTGAATCCTGCATGTTCTGCGTGTCTCTGTGTGAATGAATGGCGTCTCACTAAATGAGGACGTGAACACATGAACATCGTCTCCAGAGCAGCTCTGAGAGTCACTTTATTAGCATTTGACCATTTCATTTTAGAAAAACTTGTCATATCATATACAAAATAATAAAAGTCCGGTTAAACTTTAAGAAACATTTAAATTATATTAATATATTACTTTTGTACAGTAGAACTTTATTTAATTTAAGGGATCATACATATCAAAACAAAATTACTGGGTTAATCTTTTTCACGTTTCCTTGGTTGGTAGATGCACCGGGGACCTGATTATAGCACTTAAAACCTGGAAAAGTCTGATTTTCATGATATGTCACTTTTAAAGGCGGTTTTCTCAAAATTTGTTTTTCACCTGCACTGAGCCAGAAATCTCCAGTAACACTTACCTACAACAAACTTTACATTTTATCCCTATCCATATTGAGAGGGATTTGTTCATATACTGTATCATTTGCCAAAATCCCCGCTGTAAAAACCTGTGACTTTAATAAGTCAACAAAATAAAACAAGGCTTTTGAACCTGTCTTTACATTCAGATTTCTGTTCTGGAAATGGTGATGTCTATTAGTTACATGTTCTACCCTACTCACTCACCTAGGGGTGTTTTGCCTTAAATACAGATTAATATGAATTATCAATGTGTACTTAATACAGTAGTGTTAGGGTTACAGAGTTTGGTTTAGGGTTAGTTGCTGGTAAATATGCATTATTCACTGTAATAGACCTGTCAATGTAGTGCCATATTAAATTTTTAACAGGAATAAAAATGAGACTGTGAGGGACTGAAGTACAGGAATTCAATTGGATTTTACTGTTGTTCAACAACATACCAGTACCAACTGTTTAGACAAAACGTCCTTCCAAAAACTTTCAGTAGAGAAAACTTCATAAAGCAGTTTTGGAAATTGTGAGTTGTGAAGATTACATGATCTAGGAGCTTTATATTGTGCGTGCTACTGTAAAGACTGTAAGTCTATCCTTCATAGCCTTGTTTCCATCCACGTTAAATTCAATATGATGTCTAACCCAACAAAGGTCTACTACTATAGTAAGTACAAATTAAATGTATAAAAGGGACACTGTAAAATAAAGAGTTACTGAACTGAATCAAATGAAATGAACAAAAACAGTCACTGCACTATTAATAACCAAAGTAGAATAACTTATGAATGATGCCTAATTAGGTAGATGGATGCACAGTTGAGCATTGCACGTCTCTGTTCATGACACAGAAATGGAGACTAGAACACTTACAGAAGGCAGAACGGATGGCTTCAGTACAGCAAGAGTGATTTTGGTCGTTTTGCCATCGTAAGTCAATCCCTCCATTTCCACGGTGTGGAATTTATCCTCCGCCTCAGCACCCAAACACACCTGAGAACACAGGTGAAGAGAGGAAACTGGTTGGTTAATGTGAGTTTATGGGCAATCGAAATAATGAATCTGTAATACAAATCATTGGTAGAGTGATGACGAACACAGAGAGCAATATTCCCAATACAGAACTGAATGCAGTGTTATAGAACAGAATGTTATAAAACAGAGTGTTATTTATACCAGGATAGAATGTTATGCTTTAGAATAGAATAGAATAGAATAGAATAGAATATGCTGTTTCTGTCCGTCACTATTAATAAGGAAAAAATAAGTTTAATACTTTAGAAATATATGTAGAGATTTAGAGTTTTTAGAGAGAAAAAAAACATTAATAACTTACAGCACCCGCTGATTTCAGCAAATATGAAAAAAGATCATATACTGTACAGTCATGCATTTTTACAGAGGTAAAGGATTAATTAGGGTCTAAAATCATATATGGGGCAGAACAGAAAGAACAAGACATGATATCATTCTTTAAAGTGCTACAGAAAAGGACAAATATACAGAACAAATCGATTAAAACAGAATAGAAGAGAACAGAAACTTCAGACATTTTACGACTCCACCTCACAACTTCTACATTTATTTTTAAGGTAGGACTGATTAAACTAACGTTACTCCATGCAGGACTGAATATCTGTGATACTGAGCCATTTTAAAGACATTTCATTAATTCATCTTCCTCACCGCCTTGAGTGACAGCTGATGTTCAGCCTCATCATCATCCAACTCAACTTTGTGCTCTTTCTTATCAGCTTTCAATGAGCAACCTAAAGGAACAAGACAAACCTTATGTTTTAGTCATTAATGTTGTATACATGAAGTAAACTTTAGAGGAAAAACAAGCAACAATCAACATCCACATACTATACAACATCCTTTATAAAGGCTACAGACACGAAATCATAGTAAACAAAAAGGAGAAAAGAAATACCCCTACACCTCTTGTCCTCAATATGTTGGAAATAACAATGAAAAAAACATTTGAGCTCATATGAGCATTAGGCTATAAACAAAGGCAAACTCGATGCATGAGCTAGCTGCATTAGCCACAACTCTTTTACTGCACTGCAATGCTGCAAGCAGACGCATGCCATATGATTGCATAATACTGATTACCGCATATGTATGATTACGCAACATGAGGTTTTAATTCAGCTCACCAAATAAATACATCTGAGGTCGACTGAGATCCTTAATGTTATCCTCCATTTTTGCGCCACAGACAGAGGGTCCTGTTACCGTAGTTCCGGCGTGTGGATTGACACTTGAATGGACGAATGAAAGGAGAGTGGGCGGCTATTGTTTGCTTTTGTTTTTTTTTTTGTTTTTTTTTTCGTGCTTTCAGTACCAATTTATCCGCCAGATGACGCCATACAATAACTATTCAGTATACTTGCTCTGTTCATCCATCCATCCATTCTCCAAACCGCTTGTCCTCTGTAGTCTTTTTTCCCAAAATAAAACTGTAGGTTTGCTTTAATATGAGCTAAATGCTTTATGATGATGATTTAATACAACTTGACATCAATCCCAATTTTAAAAATTATTATTATTATTATTAAAATTATTATTTTATTAATAATAATAATAATTATTATTATTATATCATTATTATTTCAATACCAATAAAATTATTGTCTTCCCAAACTTTCATCCAAATTTGATAACATGCTCTGTTGCTGAAACAATCCAAATACTTCCCATATCAAGTCCTGTTAGGGTTTCTCCTTGAATATCCTTTTTCATGATACCATTGCATTGCATTAATACATAAAGTGACTCAAATACCTCACAGATAGACTACCACTGAAATAGACAAGAAATTACACCTGTCTCTGTGACAAAACAAGGCTCTGTGAAAAGAAAAGGACGCTCTTTTTAGCCAATCAGAAACGCCTGTCAATCATTTTGCGACCTGGGTTTGGAGACATCGGGTTGGCTGGCAGGTCTCGAGAGGACGGGGTTTCAGAAAGCGCTTAGTACAATTCAACCTGTTTTTATACAGTCTGGGAAGTTCGGATCATTTTACCGACTCGGACCTTTGAGTCTCGTTCAGCAAAATGAACGAATCTTTTTTCGAGTCATTTCGTTCATTTCGTTCATTTTAACAAAATATAATTAAAATGTTACGTGTTACTTCCCTAATATGTCTACTACTTACGCAAACGTTGATCACACTACAAACAATACAAAACTGCTATAAGAAACAGAAAAGATTAATTCATTGTTTACCTGGGTCTTCAGTCTATGATTAGCTCACATCACCTCTTATCTGACAAGTCTTGGGGTTTGGGCTTATGGG